ATTTATTTCAGCTTTTATTTCTTTCATCACATTCCCAGTGGGTCAGAAATTTACATACACTCAATTAGTAATTGGTAGCACTGCCTTTAAATTGTTTAACTTGGGTCAAACGTGTCGGGTAGCCTTCCACAAGCTTCCCACAATAAGTTGGGTGAATTTTGGACCATTCCTCCTGACAGAGCTGGTGTAACTGAGTCAGGTTTGTAGGCCTCCTTGCTCACATGCTTTTTCCGTTCTGCCCACACATTTTCTATAGGATTGAGGTCAGGGCTTTGTGATGGCCACTCCAATACCTTGACTTTGTTGTCCTTAAGCCATTTTGCCACAACTTTGGAAGTATGCTTGGGGTCATTGTCCATTTGGAAGACCCATTTGCGACCAAGCTTTAACTTCCTGACTGATGTCTTGATGTTGCTTCAATATATCCACATAATTGTCCTTCCTCATGATGCCATCTATTTTGTGAAGTGCACCAGTCCCTCCTGCAGCAAAGCACCCCCACAGCATGATGCTGCCACCCCCTGTGCTTCACGGTTGGGATGGTGTTCTTGGGCTTGCAAGCCACCCCCTTTTTCCTCCAAACATAACGATGGTCATTATGGCCAAACAGTTATATTTTTGTACAGAATAAAAAATATTCCAAAACATGCATCGTGTTTGCAACAATGCACTAAAGTAATACAGCAAAAAAGGTGGCAAAGCAATTCACTTTTAGACCTGAATACAAAGTATTATGTTTTGGGCTAATCCAATACAACATATTCCTGAGTACCACTCTCCATATTTTCAAGCATAGTGGTGCTGCATCATATTATGGGTATGCTTGTAATCATTTAGGACTGGGGAGTTTTTCTGGATAAAATAGAAACGGAATGGAGCTAAGCACAGGCAAAATCGTAGAGAAAACCCTGGTTCAGTCTGCTTTCCACCAGACACTGGGAGATGAATTCACTTTTCAGCAGGACAATAACCTAAAACACAAGGGCAAATCTACACTGGAGTTGCTTACCAAGAAGACAGTAAATGTTCCTGAGAGGCCGAGTTACATTTTTGACTTAAATATACTTAAATCTATGGCAAGACCTGAAAATGGTTGTCTAGCAAAGACCAAAAAACAATTTGAAAGAGCTTGAATAATTGTTTTAAGAATAATGGGGAAATGTTGCACAATCCAGGTATGGAAAGCTCTTAAGAGACTTACCCAGAAAGACTCAGCTGTAATCGCTGCCAAAGTTGCTTCAACAAAGTATTGACTCAGGGGAGTGAATACTTAAGTAAATGAGATATTTCTGTATTTCATTTTCAATACATTTGAAAAAATGTCTACAAACAGGTTTTCACTTTGTCATTATGGGGTATTGTGTGTAGATGGGTGAGAAAAAAATCGATTTAATCCATTTTGAATTCAAACTGTAACACAACGAAATGTGGAATAAATCAAGGGGTATGAATACTTTCTGAAGGCACTGTAGGGTTTTACATAGAACCCAAAAGAGTTCTACCTGGAACCAAAACGTTTCTTCAAAGGGTTCTCCTATGGGAACAGCCGAAGAACCTTTAAGTTATAGATAGCACCCTTTTTTCTAAGAGTGTAAGAGGCGAGGAACATAAACTATACACATATTGCATTCTGTTCCCTTTTCGATCGCCAGGTGAGCTAAATTGTCTTGATTTATCTGGCGTGATCTGATAGAATAATCCCAGCTAACCGTATGTTTAAAGGTGTGTTTGGCCGTTTCAAAGTAATAGTTTTAGAAAGAATACAGCAGACCTATGTCATCATTGTCCTACTCTACTTTTCTATTAAATTACAGGAAGAATAGTATTCCACAAAATATATTTTTTGCTTACCCGATGAAGTTCTGTCTAGTCGCGAGTTATGTATGAAAGTAAAACTGGTACAAAGGCGGAATTGAAGATCTACTACATGAGTCACTATCTCATGACAAACACGTCAGATTCATCCTATTGGCTTGCTGCTGCTGTGTGTGTGAGTGCGTTTGTGTGTATCCGACATGTCCTGAACATGTCCAGTTTCAGTTTCGCGTTAAAAACAACCTGGGAACTCGGAACTCGGAAATCTCGGTGCGTTAAAGAAAAAAACGAGCTCCGACTGGGAAAAACAGTTTTGACTGGTCTTTCAACTCGACATTTCAAGTCGGAAACTCGGGCATATTACTAGAGCTCCGACTTTCCGAAGTAATTATTTGAGCTTCTTTTTTTCCTGAGTTCCCAGTTGTCTTGAAAGCACCAAGTGAGACAAAATACATAGGCCTTTGTAAATCGGTATTATCCTATACATATTTATTACACTATAATAACCATATTACCGCATATCTTAACCCATCTATGAATAACAGGATTAAAAACAATTACTCTTCCTGAATAAATGGTATAAAAACACGTTTTTCAGGGCTGCCAACTTTTGAAGAAAGCTTGGATTGAGATTTGCTTTGTGAATTTCATTGCCCCCTGGCACAATCCCTAGACTGGGGACTGGGGGTCCTCTTCCAGGAAGATTTTACTGTTTTAAAGCAAATTTCCTGCAATTCTATGTATTTTGAGGCCTATGACCAGGGTGTAAAAGTAGGTGTATTCAGGATACTTTGACCATTAAATGAGCACTCAAAATTAGATGACTTTGTTACTTTGAGATTTTGGGGGTATGAAATGTAAAGTATGCTAATATTTTTTTAAACATTTTTTTCGGTGGTTTGACAAATTATTCAGACAGTAATTAAATGAGATAGGGAGACAGGCATTTGCTAGAAACAGTGGGAAGGTTGGAAGCAGGGAATGATCCCTGTTCTCAGGTGGAAAGTTGTATGCGACAGGTACCTGGGAGTGTTACCACTACACTAAGGCTCTGCACAGTAATTACCCTATAGATTAGCCCATTGTTAAGAATGAGAATTGTTCCACTGATCAGACTAAATAAAGTAAATAGCTAATAAAATCTGCTGAATCAAATATTACATAATAATACATTTTATATGTATTGTACCCCATCTAGAACCAAATTTACACTTTTGGGTTCACAATTTGTTTGACAAAATGATTTTTCATAGTTACAAATCAGGTCCCACTACCCAATTTCCCTACTAAAACATATTGTAGGTCTGTCTGCTGCCTTTTCGTTGTCACAGCGTAAATGCCAATCACCAAATTATTGCATTCTGCAATAGGGACAGGAGTAACCGCAGCCTAATTTTGTTCACAATATTGTACATAAAACAGCGCTACCGTACTGCTGTTTTTACAGTTTTATAAACTCCGTGGAGAACGATCTCTCCATTCAACTCCACTCTAATCCTGAGGGGCGTTTCATCAAAGACTAGACCAACCATATCCTTAAATGTGCCGCGATTTACAGTGCTGTGGCAAGACATTGATAGAGATTCCCGTTCGTGATGTTAAATGCTCCGATTTCAAAACGATTTGGAGCACAGTTGAAAAATTAACGCGCGGACTATCCAACGGACTAATAAAATCAGTACTTTTCAATGCGTGAGACAAAATAGGTGTGAGATTTGGCAGCTCTGGTTTTTAGTTCAAGGCTGCGTTCCAAACACGTAAAAGACACACCCTCCTCCACTTACCCTCGCCCTTGGGGGAATCCCAGCAGCCATCTTTGCCGTCGGTCCAAACAGTTAGCCAAGCAAGGGAGGTTGGCAAGTAAGCCCCCCAGCCCTCGTTTGTGATCGAGTGTACAATTTTGTTCACTCTGGGGTCTGAAACGCCCCATAATTCAATTCGCGATGATTGTAAATAGGCTAAGAAAAGTCAGCCAAAACTTAAAACCAACATCAATATGGAAAAGTCAACATACAAGTGTAAGTACAAACAAATGTCAATAAATTACAAATTGTGCTACTACCGGTGGTTCCATGATTGATAACACAACTGTCGGACGAACGAGTTACGAATTTCCAGGCAAGGGCGGTCCATTTAATTAAATATATTCCTCCCTTGCCCTGCAACTGTCAACTCATGAAACGTCATCAGAAGTGTAAACTTAATTTGAGGGCTAAGGGGAGAGGGTGTGTTTTTTACGTGTTTGGAATGCAGCCCAAGAGATAATCAAAATGGGCATGTGTTCAGTACGTTTTTACGTTCTGGAACGTTCAATTGAACAGAAACGGTGCTGTACTGAACAACCAGTTGAAAAACGGGGAGGGGTTGGGTTGTGGGCATATATACAGTCATTGGGCGCCTTCAAGCGGATCAATTTTGTCAAGTCGATGGTCACCGCCTTTCAAAGTGTGTTGCATTCTGGGGATAAAAATTGTCAAACTTGCACCTACATGTCTACTGCATAAACTTTATAACAATCGTGATCAAAGGTCAGGAAGTTTTGATTGCTAGTTTCAGCAGTTGCTCTTCACCAACATTGGTTAAGGACTTGTAAGTAAACATTTCATGGTAAGGTCTACACCTGTTGTATTCGGCGCATGTGATCATCCTGCAGCCATCTCCTGCATTGTGGGAGGCTCTATTGTCAACCAATCATTAAGGTGTTTTGTTTGACCCACACTAACATGACCAAAGATATGACTGAAACAGGTACCAATTTGGGATTTATGTGTACTGTGGATATACAGTATACAAATAAATGTGATATTTGAGGCTCTCTCACTAATTGATTGTACACTGTGTACACACATGATATTGTATTATGATTTCAGTGTGTGATATGGGGGTTAGATACATATTTTATATTTATCATAAAGAAAACCTTTTAGAGTAAAACGGCAACACGGCCATGTTGTTCTGAGCTTTGCTGTTGGAAAACCACATTAGTGTCTGACTTTTGGCCTCCCCTCGACTTTCGTCTACAGTCGGTTGCTTTGGCAAGAACGTACAAGAACGTTTTGGGAAAACGTGTCGTTCAGTATAAACCGTCCCGCAACGTAGCAAACGTTCAAGCGAACTGAACGCACATCTGACAATTCAGTCACGTGACCGATCGCGGATCATGACGTACAAATCTATGCGACAGAAAAAAAGGCCACTGTAAACAGAAAATAAAAATACACAGTAAGTTCAAAGATTATCTATATTAGCTTCGCCTCTTCTTTTCTGGTAAGTCTAGGCACATCACAATTAAGTACAGATATTCACGTTTGTGCTGTACTGACCTAAAGACTGTTTGTGCATCTTTTTACAATGTCATTTTGGTTCTCTGTTGCAGTGAGTCAGCCGGACAGCTGTGAATGTCCATTCCCCATGTCATTCTCCCAGATCACCCAGTCTCTGTATCTGGGTGGTGTGGACGCAATCTTCAAGCGCACCGGCCTCTCCAGTAGGAACATAACTCTGATAGTCAATGCCACAGCAGAGCACCCCTGTCCTCAGTACGAGGGTGTGGAGTGTTTCCAGGTACCCGTACTGGACCAGCCTCACGCCCCCCTGGCCTGCTACTTCGATGCTGTTGCAGAACGTATCCATAACAACCAGTCAGGTAGTACACTGGTCCACTGCACTGCAGGCCGGAGCCGTTCTCCTACCCTGATCATGGCTTACCTGATGAGGTATGAGGGGGTATCACTGCGCCAGGCCCATGAGTGGGTCCTGAAGTACAGACCTCATATCCGACCCAATGCTGGGTTCTGGAGGCAGCTGATGGAGTATGAGAGGAGGCTCTATGGGAAGAATACTTTGAGGATGGCTGCTACCTCCTGTGGTGTGCTGCCTGAGGCTCTGGATGGACAGGAGACTATTTACTATGTGAATGGCTGATGGAATGAGTCCCAAATGGCACCGTATTCCTTATATAGTGCACTACTTTTGACCAGAGCCTAAAGGGAATAAGGTGCCATTTGGGACAGAATTCTTTCTTCAATGTCTGAGAAAGTCATGAGTGCAAGTAGACCCGACTGACATGTCCTGACTGTGAAATGATCTGTGGCTTCGCTGAGACTCTTCATGCAATGTTTCTCTACCAGCAATAGTCAACTGTATGTACCGTTTTTATACAGTGGCATTCATTTGAGACAATTGTTGATTGCATTTGACAAGATTAAGTGATCAACCACATTTGTATAGCAGAAAATTGTATTATTGATAGATTTTTCATAGATGTATTTGAGAAAATAAAACAAATAGCTATAAAACATTTCAGATGTTTATTTGAAAATTATTTACATTTATGAATGTATGTATTCATCCTAGCTTGGTATGGTCTTCAAAATGGATCTGTATCATCTTTGCAATTAATGTACAGATCTGTGGTGCCTGATGCACCCCTCGGCTGTCGATACACCCCCCCAGTCCAATTTGGAGGTACCCATCCTGTCGAGAACGGTCAGTGTCAGGTTTCATCCCAAACTGCACCCTATTCACTACATAGGGAATAGGGTGTCATTTGGGATGCAGAGTGTCCTTCTGGGTGGGTAGCAGAGCCCAGTATATTCTGACATAACGATGGGTTTAGGATAGAACAGGCCAGAGGAGGAGGAATTGTCTTCAGTACTGGAAACTTCTCTTGGTCTGGATGTCATCAAGGATCTGCTGCAGCTCCTCGTCCTCAAACCGCCCCTCCAGACTGCAGACAGAACAAACAGGCTTCAGTACACAACAGCAAAACTACTGTCACTACATTTTAATCTATACCAAATATTTACGCCTGGTTTCCTGGTCAAGAGCCGGCTGCTACCCAACTAGAGACAAGGTTAGGGTTAGATGACTGAGTATGGTGATATGTGAGGAGGCAGTAACAGCAGGTCTTACCTAGGGATGAGGGCTTTGGCCTCCTCCGCTGCTTCTGGACACAGGTTGGCCAAACTGGCCAACTCAAATTTATGCAGCTTCTTCTGTAAGAGCAAGCTGTAGGATACAGGGCAATCATTTCAGTAATCCCGAAAAGTTAATGGACACATTAACCACCATATAAATATATATTGTATTTTATACGGTACTGACATTGGTTTTTGGTTGTGATAGTGACAACAGCTACACTGACCTGCGGACACTGGCTATAGTTTCTCTGTTTTTGAACCGGCTGAAACGTGCAGTATAATTCAGAGTTTTCATGAAGACCTCCGATAGCTCTTGTTCGTCCTCTGCACTCTCGTTCTGCTGCTTGCGATGCTCCAGAAGCATGTGTACCTCGGAGTTTAGAAGTGTCTCCGCGTTCTCGAACTCTGAAGAACACAGGTGTGTTTTAATGTTGGATATAGTTAGCTAGCTAAATACCTTAACCCTCCCGTTGTCCTAGGGTCAAAATGACCCGCCACTGTGTTGAACCAACTTTATTTAATTTTTATATTTTTGGGATCATTTGTGAGAAGGAGGCAGTGATTCTTCCTTTAAAGTCTCACTGCCTCCTTCTCACAAATGATCCCAAAAATATAAAAATTAAATAAAGTTGGTTCAACACAGTGGCGGGTCATTTTGACCCTAGGAAAACGGGAGGGTTAAGTGAATCGTTATATTCAAGCTAGTTAACATAAATAAGCTGGATACGCACCTTTGGGGAACAGTAGCTGAGAAGCGTCCTCCTCAATATCTCCGACAGTTGTTGTTGAACCGCCTCCGGACGCCATGCTGCTTGTCACACTGAATTAATGAACCTTCCTAGCTAACGTTACAGTAAAAGAAAAAGCCACAGAGCTGATATCCAGTTGCTTGCTCTGAACCAAATGTTCTCTATAACGGCGCCTTATAATTGTTTTGTCATTACAAAAACAGCAAGACGAATCTCCAAATTCATCAAGGAAAGAAGCTGATACCTAACAAAAAAACAAAAATCAGCTTCTCATCGCAACACAAAAAAGGTACTTCCGGGTCACGGTATTTCGAATTTTAATTTGAAGGCAAAATCCGAAAACCGGATATCTTAATGTTGCTGCGGTGACGCTTATAAAACAAAGCTTGATATAGCTTCGGAATTCGACTAGAGACCAAAGTCTCGGGCGTTGCCAGTTGGTTGAAGCTTACATTACAACACTGACCATTTCCATTCAGTGCTGCATTGGCACTTTTGTGCCAGTTCATTGTTCGGGAAAAAAATATGTAAATGCATGTTCCAAAGAATGCAGGCTCCGACAGTAGTACAAAACGATTTGCGTTGGCCGGGAATCGAACCCGGGTCAACTGCTTGGAAGGCAGCTATGCTCACCACTATACCACCAACGCTGACAGAAAATGTAGGAGAAACATGACCAATTTGAAAGTAACAACTGTGATCTTTTCCATAATTATCTGACAAATTCAGTATCGGTTATTTTTATTTTTCCATATACATATCAGACTAGCTAATTAGCTAAATGTTCATAGAAAATAGGTCACGGTTAAATAATACAGATGTGCTAATGTTGCTTGTTCATAGCTAACGTTCCTAGTAGCTACTTGCGAGCGCCCCTGCGAGTGCCCCTTCTTCAAGATGGATTTATTTGACGATCTTCCAGAACCAACCCAAAGCGCAGCTAACTTGATATGTCACATTAAACATGTTTCATCAATTACACATTAAACATGTTTCAAGGTGTCGTAATCAAATAACCTTAGCTTGCTAATCCAGCTAGCTATTCCCTGCTAAACCAGTTATGTAAAGTTAGCTAACTAGTTAGCTTGCAAAGAGAGAGAGAGAGAGAGCTTCCAAATCTAGCTAGCTAGCTAACCTTACCTGAACAAATATTATCTAACAGTTTTTGTTTCTCAGAATAGCAAGTCATTAGTAGGCTCAGTGCAGTGGGTTTCCCGACTAGCTAGCTACTTGTTAGCCAAGCTGGAACAGCTAGCTAGTTAGTTTAACAGTTAGCAGTGAATGCATTAATGAATAGCTCTCTTTTCCTATGCTTGTCAGCCCCGGTCTGCCCTGCTTCAGGTGGTACAGAAGACATGTCCACCACTGCTGGAGAACAGGGGGCCAAGAGGAAAAGAGAGGCACCCGATGATGAGGAGGTGGTGGTGGTGGACGAACAAAAACTAGAAGAAAATAAAGTTTGTAAAGGTTTTCGACATTTCCATATAAATGTGCAGTATGTCACCTATTTTATATGTGTGTTTGTCTGTCTGTGTCTGGGTGTAGAGTTAACTACTAGCTATGAGAGATCACTCTGTGTCTCCAGATGATCAATCTCTGAGTCAAAGTGATCACTCTCTGTGTCCCCAGGTGTGCCTACGTTGAAGGGGTATGTAGCCACTCAGAGGGGAGAGAGAGAGGAGATGCAGGACGCTCACGTTCTCCTACCTGACACGAAAGCCTGCCTGTCCACCCTTCCAACTACAGTGTAAGTCACCTCTGACTCAGAGCAGTGTCAGGAAGCATCCCAAATGGTACCCTATTCCCTATCATACGTAGTGCCCTACTTTTGACCAGACCTTCCATAGGGTTCCAAAAGTAGTGCACTATATAGGTAAGAAGGTGTCATTTGGGACAAATCCTAAGTCCCCTTCTTTATAACATAGGGGAGTGTCAGTCTGCTAGGACCTGGATGATGTGCTCCAGTGAAGTGACGTACACTACTGTCTGTGTTGAAGGTCTCGTCTGGCCTACTTCGCTGTGTTCGACGGCCATGGAGGAGCTAGAGCTTCTCACTTCACTGCAGAACATCTTCACCACACTCTGGCCTTGAAGTTCCCCAAAGGTGAGTGGAGAGACTCAGATCCCCTATTCACTGTCAAGATATTGGGCTGCATTTATTTATTGTATCTCTTCACATATTCAATATACATCAGTTAATGCTAGACTCAGACCACATGTCTATTCATCCTCAATAAACTTGCCTTTCATTTGTAGTGGTATTACAGTGCATTCGTAAAGTATTCAGACCCCTTGACTTTTTCCACATTTTGTTACGTTACAGCCTTATTCTAAAATGGATTACACACAATACCCCATAATGACAAAGCGATTTTTTTAAACAACAGAAATACCTTATTTACATAAGTATTCAGACCTTTTGCTATGATACTCTAAATTGAGCTCAGGTGCATCCTGTTTACATTGATCATCGTTGAGATGTTTCTACAACTTGATTGGAGTCCACCTGTGGTAAATTCAATTGATTGGACATGATTTGGAAAGGCACACACCTGTCTATATAAGGTCCCACAGTTGACAGTGCATGTCAGAGCAAAAACCAAGCCAGGAGGTCGAAGGAATTGTCTGTAGAGCTCCGAGACAGGATTGGGGTCAAGGCACAGATCTGGGGAAGGGTACCAAAAAATGTCTGCAGTATTGAAGGTACCCAAGAACACAGTGGCCTCCATCATTATAAATGGAAGACGTTTGGAACCACAAAGACTCTTCCTAGAGCTAGTCGCCCGGCCAAACTGAGCAATCGGGGGAGAAGGGCCTTGGTCAGGGAGGTGACCAAGAACCTGATGGTCACTCTGACAGAGATCCAGAGTTCCTCTGTGGAGATGAGAGAACCTTCCAGAAGGACAACCATCTCTGCAGCACTCCACCAATCAGGCCTTTATGGTAGAGTGGCCAGATGGAAACCACTCCTCAGTAAAAGGCACATGGTAGCCCACTTGGAGTTTGCCAAAAGGCACCTAAAGACTCAGACCATGAGAAACAAGATTCTCTGGTCTGATGAAACCAAGATTGAACTCTTTGGCCTGAATGCCGAGCGTCACGTCTGGAGGAAACCTGGCACCATCCCTACGGTGAAGCATGGTGGTGGCAGCATCATGCTGTGGGATATGTTTTTCAGTGGCAGGGACTGGGAGACTAGCCAGGATCAGTAAGTACAGAGATGTCCTTGGTGAAAACCTGCTCCAGAGCGCTCAGGACCTCAGACTGGGGCGAAGGTTCACCTTCCAACAAGACAACGACCCTAAGCACACAGCCAAGACAACTCAGGAGTGGCTTTGGGACAAGTCTCTGAATGTCCTTGAGTGACCCAACCAGAGCCCAGACTTGAATCCGATTTAACATCTCTGGAGAGACCTGAAAATAGTTGTGCAGCGACGTTCCCCATCCAACCTGACAGAGCTTGAGAGGATCTGCAGAGAAGAATGGGAGAAACTCCCCAAATAGAGGTGTGCCAAGCTTGTAGCGTCATACCCAAGAAGACTCCAGGCTGTAATTGCTGCCAAAGGTGCTTCAACAAAGTACTGAGTAAAGGGTCTGAATACTTATGTAGGCCGTCATTGTAAATAAGAATTTGTTTTTAACTGACTTGCCTAGTTAAATAAAGGTTAAAAAAAAAAGGGTGATATTTCAGTTTTTTATTTGTAATACATTTTCAGAAACATTTCTAAAAACCTGTTTTTGCTTTGTCATTATGGGGTATTGTGTGTAGATTGATGAAGGAAAAACACAATCTAATCAATTTTAGAATAAGGCTGTAACGTAACAAAATGTGGAAAAGGTCAAGGGGTCTGAATACTTTACGAATGCACTGTTTCTCTTCACAATATTCTAGAACATCCATCAATATCTAATGCATATTGTGTATCTCCTCCTCCCACAGTAGAAACGGAGAACCTGGACAAACTGGTGAAGAAGTGCCTACTAGACACCTTCCGACAGACAGATGAAGACTTCCTGAAAAAAGCCTCCAGCCAATAAGTGCTTAGTCTCGTAAACCCGACCCTAGGCAACAGCAGTGACTAGGTTCTGGTAGATATGATGGACTCTCTTGGTAACTTCGATAAGGGAAAACAATTTGTTCCGGGGTGGGTCCTCTCCCAATAAATCACGAGGCAGACATGCCAGAACGTCGTGATTCGAAACCAAAGTTTGTGGTTTCAGTGAAGGTAGTTGATGTAAACTAGCCACTTTCGAAATACACTCATTAAAAATAACCTCTGTGTTGGGCTTCCCGAGTGGCATAGCGATCTAAGGCACTGCATCGCAGTGCTTGAGGCGAGGCGTCACTACAGACCCAGGCTGTGTCACAACCGGCCGTGACCGGGAGTCCCATAGGGTGGCGCACAATTGGCCCAGCGTCGTCCGGGTTAGGGGAGGGTTTGGCTGGGGGGGGCTTTACTTGGCTCATTGCGCTCTAGCGAGTCCTTGTGGTGGGCCGGGCGCCTGCAGGCTGACTTTGTTTGTCAGTTGTACAGTGTTTCCTCCAACACATTGGAGCAGGTGTTAAGGAGCGTGGTTTGGCGGGTCATGTTTCGGAGGACGCATGACTCGACCTTTGTCTCTCCCAAGCCCGTTGGGGAGTTGCAGTGATGACACAAGATACAAATTTTAAAAGGGTGTAAAATATAAAAAATAAATAAATAACCTCTGTGATCTCCATCTTGCTAGCTACTATTTCATATCTTATTCAAGCGGATAAGGCAGTGACGTAGGTAGTGACGTAGTTCCTCTATGCCAAACTGACGTTCTGTTAACTGACATGTTAAGCTGGAACATTGAAACATTGTGGGAGGCAACACGGATGTCTAGTAAGTGTTTTGAATGTCTGAGCATTACTATGGTTGAGTCCCAAATGACACCCTATTCCCTACATAGCTGTGTGTCCCAAATGGGCCCTGGTCAAAGGTAGTGGGAGTATTTTAGAAGCCCTTTAAATTGATGAGTTAAATTTGTTCTACATTAATGACTGTATGAAGCGATGTGTACAGTGTGTCTGATCTGGTCCCACAGGAAGCCTGCCTGGATGGATGGCTTTACAGCCACCTGTATGTTAGTGGTGGATGACATGGTGTATGTGGCCAACCTGGGAGACAGCAGGGTAAGGCGCTGCTCTGCTCTCACATGGGCCCTGGTCAAAAGTAGTGCACTAGGGAGTAGGGAATAGGCTGCAATTTTATATGTAACCGTAGTTTCAACCTGTTTATTTAGCCATCATCAATTATGATATTGCTATAGGAAGCTGCTGTTTGATTCCATTGTGTTGTAGTAACCTTCCTTACTTGTAACATTGTGCCTCTGTCTCTCTGTAGGCAGTTTTCTGTCAGATGGAACAGGAAATGCAGGGCAGGGCATACTGGCGCTCAGTAAGGAATACAACCCCACCATCAGTATGAAAAATGTATGCACTCACTAACTGTTAAGTCGCTCTGGATAAGAGCGTCTGCTAAATGACTAAAATGTAATAATGTAAAATATACGAGGAGCGCATGAGGATCCAGCGGGCTGGTGGCACAGTCAGATACTTGGCTTTCACTGGGCTTTCATATCTTTTCTCTGTATATCTGTGCCTGGAAAAAAACATCAACAACAAAAATACTCTTTGATAAGTACTAGTGATATCCTTGACCTGCTCTGTGAGGAGGAATAACTTTTATCAACTCTTTATCCATGGTTGCTGCTGTGTGTGTTGCTCCAGGGGTGGGCGAGTCCTTGGGGTGCTGGAAGTGTCCAAGTCTATAGGAGATGGACAGTACAAACGCATTGGAGTCATATCCACACCTGACCTCAGGCGCTGTCAGCTTACACCCAATGACAGGTAAGACACTGACTGTTTCAACCAATGACAGGTAACACTACGCCAGGTACTCCCAGCCAGGCCCTGTTCCAATACTTTGTAAATGCATTCTCTTTTCCTCCCTTCCTTGAAGTAGTCACTGAACTGACATGACTTGGACTTGGAAAGGCACATTGAATTTGTTGGTGGATTGATGGGTGATCTCTCTCTCTCTCTCTCTCTCTCAGGTTCATTATCCTGGGCTGTGATGGTCTGTTTAAAGTGTTCTCTGCAGAGGAAGCTGTTAAATACGTTCTCAACGTCCTGCAGGTATACATCATGTTCACAATGTGTGTTTATTTAAAAAATATATGTCTCAGAGAGTGTGTGTGTGTATGCTGTGGTGTGTGACACTGTCTTGTGGGTATTTTCAGAATGGGAGTGTTGAGAGGAAGGAGGGGCAGACAGAGGAGGAGGGCCGCTATGAAGCAGCATGTCAGAGACTGGCCAATGTTGTGCCGACAACGTTACCGTCATACTGGTGTCTGTTAGCTTCTGAACAACAGACACCCGATCTTGCCCGTCATTGATGTGTCTGTCATTGCGTGCCTCTGAGAGCTATGTCCACCGTGGCTCCAGACCTTAAAACATGAACAGATCCCACTGCTGCCAGCAACAGACAAACATCAGACATGTTGGTCAACCATTCATTTTAAAAGAGGTGTTCTAATCTCTAACTCAATGTGAACTGTATACCCTACGCATGTATGCAATGCAATTGCTAATTGCTTGTGTTGCGTACTAGCGTAGGGTGTAAATTAGGCTTAATCCTCTGTACTGCCCTGTACTGCTTATCCTGATGACTACTGATGATTTAAATGGGCTTTATGTTTTCTGTCTAATACATTGTCTTGTCTAATTTGTGCACATGTTGTTTTATTGCCTTCAATGTTAAATTTGTATTTTTCTTTGGGTTACTTTTAATAAAGTATTTCAGAACAGAATTTCAGAGATTGTCCCATAAAATTCAACACATGTACACAACCCTGTATGATCCAATCGGAAGCTGTTCTAGATTTAATGGACTCCTATCTTCCTCCCTGTCCCCTCCACCCTGGATAATACAGATGTATGTCTGTCCCTTCCCTCTCGGTCCCAAGTCTCCTACAAGTTCATATCATGAACATACATTAGGATTTTCTTTATTGTATCCAATCAGAAATTTAAGAAGAAATCGTGTTGTATTGCATTACTGTCTGCAAAACATGGAGGGCAATGCCTACTCATAATTGGTTAAAACCACATGATGCACACCAGATGATGTCCCTCTTTATCAAGACAAATTTCCCCTCATGGACAATAAAGTAAATTCTATCCATTTGTAGGACACCTGGGATACACTTGGAAACCCCATCTTTAACAATAGCCTATTATTTTTCTCCCACAGTAATGAATGGGTTTGGCCATTAGATGGTGCTATCAAACCGTTTCTCAACCTCACACAAGATGAAGGCCTGTAACGGGCGAGACAGAGAGTTATGCCATCAGACAGAGCTACACATCTTCAGCTTGTCTTGGTATGTATGCCCCAGGAGATTTACACTGTACAAAAATATAAATGCAACATGTAAAGTGTTGGTCCCATGTTTCATGAGCTGAAATAAAAGATCCCAGAAATTTTCCATACGCACAAAATGCTTATTTCTGTCAAATGTTGTGCACAAATTTGTTCACAGCCCTGTTAGTGAGCATTTCTCCTTTGACAAGATAATCCATCCACCTGACAGGTGTGGCATATCAAGAAGCTGATTAAACAGCATGATCATTACACAAGTGGACCTTGTGCTGGGGACAATAAAAGGCTACTCTAAAATGTGCACTTTTGTCACACAACACAATGCCACAGATGTCTCAAGTTTTGAGGGAGCGTGCAATTGGGATGCTGACTGCAGGAATGTCCACCAGAGAATTGAATTATTCATTTCTCTGCCATAAACCGCCTCCAACGTTGTTTTAGAGAATTTGGCAGTACGTCCAACCGGCCTCACAACTGCAGACCACGTGTATGGCATTGTGTGGGGGAGTGGTTTGCTGATGTCAACGTGAACAGAGTGCCCCATGGTGGCGGTGGGGTTATGGTATGGGCAGGCATAAGCTACGGACAACAAACACAATTGCATTTTATCTATGGCAATTTGAACGCACAGAGATACCGTGACGAGATCCTGAGGCCCATTGTCATACCATTCATCTGCCGTCATCACCTCATGTTTTAGCATGATAATGCACAGCTCCATGTTGCAAGGATCTGTACACAATTCCTGGAAGCTGAAAATGTCCCAGTTCTTCCATGGCCTGCATACTCACCAGACATGCCACCCATTGAGCATGTTTGGGAGGCTCTGGATTAACGTGTACGACAGCGTGTCCGATCCACTCTCCATGCGCACCTTCCTCACCCGCGCCGTCCACGTCTCTTCCGACTGAGGCCCAGATGAAGGGTTGAGCAGTGGGGAAACAATGTTCAGATCCAGGGGGGAAACAAGTCAGTAGTCAGGTCACCTATTGCCACCCCCAGTCGTATTATAGGCCTACAGCCTGTTCATAAATGGCATGTCATATTGATATAGAAAACAGGGCTGTTTTAGAGTATTTGGGAATATGTGTAGGTTTGCAGACAGTGTATCCAAGGTTTGCAGACAATGTATCCATGGTGTGTACCCTGACAGAACGGTCTGGGATCCTTAGGATATCCCTACCCTAACCATAACCTTTAACTTAACCATTTTACATTTCAATTTAAATCGGGTAGGGACGTCCCAGGGATACCGAATAGCACAGACCCTGACAGAACAGTTGTTCTTCCTGTTATCTGTGTTCCTCCTGAAGCAGTGATGTGTTTATGGAACAGGCTGAATGTTCTAATAGCTTGCCTCAGGCTGTTGATTTAAATCACCATATCATTCTTTAGATAACTTTGCTGTTATATCATCACCAGCCAGCCAGCCTGACTGAGAGCTGCATCTGTTAGAGCAGGCTGCAGGATTCCTCTCTCTCTCTCTCTCTCTCTCTCTCTCTCTCTCTCTCTCTCTCTCTCTCTCTCTCCCCCCCCCTCGCTCTCTCCCCCTCTCTCTCTCTCTCTCTCTCTCTCTCTCTCTCTCTCTCTCTCTCTCTCTCTCTCTCTCTCTCTCTCTCTCTCTCTCTCTCTCTCTCTCTCTGTGTTTCTCTCTGCCCCCCCTCTCTGTGTGTTTCTCTCTGCCCCCCCCCCTCTCTCTCTCTCTCTCTCTCTCTCTCTCTCTCTCTGTGTTTCTCTCTGCCCCCCTCTCTGTGTGTTTCTCTCTGCCCCCCCCCCCCTCTCGGGTAGGGACGTCCCAGGGATACCGAATAGCACAGACCCCTCTCTCTCTCTCTCTCTCTCTCTCTCTCTCTCTCTCTCTCTCTCTCTCTGTGTCTCTTCCTCAATTCAATTCAATTCAATTCAAGGGGCTTTATTGGTAAGGAAACATGTTTACATTGCCAAAGCAAGTGAAATAGATAATAAACAAAAGTGAAATAAACAATTAAAAAAGAACAGTAAACATTACATAAAAGTTCCAAAAGAATAAAGACATTTCAAATGTCTTATTATGTCTATATACATTGTTGTAATGATGTGCAAATAGTTAAACTACAGAAGGGAAAATAAATAAACATAAATATGGGTTGTATTTACAATTATTTGTTCTGAACAGGTTGACCTTTTCTTTTGGCAACAGGTCACAAATCTTGCTGCTGTGAATGCACACTGTGGTATTTCACCCAATAGATATGGGACTTTATCAAAATTGGATTTGTTTTCAAATTCTTTGTGGGTCTGTGTAATCTGAGGGAGATATGTGTCTCTAATATGGTCATACATTTGGCAGGAGGTTAGGAAATGCAGCTCAGTTTCCACCTCGTTCTGTGGGCAGTGTGCACATAGCCTGTCTACTCTTGAGAGCCAGGTCTGCCTACGGCGGTCTTTCTCAATAGCAAGGCTATGCTCACTGAGTCTGTACATAGTCAAAGCGTTCCTTAATTTTGGGTCAGTCACAGTGATCAGGTATTCTGCCACTGTGTACTCTCTGTTTAGGGCCAAATAGCATTCTAGTTTGCTCTGGTTTTTGGTAAATTCTTTCCAATGTGTCAAGTAATTATCTTTTTGTTTTCTCATGATTTGGTTGGGTCTAATTGTGTTTCTGACCTGGGGCTCTGTGGGGTCTGTTTGTGTTTGTGAACAGAACCCCAGGACCAGCTTGCTTAAGGTGCTCTTCTCCAGGCTAATTTCTCTGTAGGTGATGGTTTTGTTATGGAAGGTTTGGGAATCACTTCCTTTTAGGTGGTTGTAGAATTTAGTGGCTCTTTTCTGGATTTTGATAATTAGCGGGTATCGTACTAATTCTGCACTGCATGCATTATTTGGTGTTTTACATTGTACACAGAGGATATTTTTTGCAGAATTCTGCATGCAGAGTCTCATTTTGGTGTTTTTCTCATTTTGTGAATTCTTGGTTGGTGAGCGGACCACAGACCTCACAACCATAAAGGGCAATGGGTTCTATAACTGATTCAAGTATTTTTAGCCAGATCCTAATTGGTATGTCGAATTTCATGTTCCTTTTGATGGCATAGAAGGACCTTCTTGCCTTGTCTCTCAGATCGTTCACAGCTTTGTGGAAGTTACCTGTGGCGCTGATGTTTAGGCCGAGGTATGTATAGTTTCTTGTGTGCTCTAGGGCAACAGTGTCTAGATGGAATTTGTATTTGTGGTCCTGGCAACTGGACGTTTTTGGAACACCATTATTTTTGTCTTAATGAGATTTACTGTCAGGGCCCAGGTCTGACAGAATCTGTGCAGAAGATCTAGGTGCTACTGTAGGCCCTCCTTGCTTTGGGACAGAAGCACCAGATCATCAGCAAACAGTAGACATTTGACTTCAGATTCTAGTAGGGTGAGGCCCGGGTGCTGCAGACTGTTCTAGTGCCCTCGCCAATTCGTTGATATATATGTTGAAGAGGGTGGGGCTTAAGCTGCATCCCTGTCTCACCCCCCAGGCCTGTGGAAAGAAATGTGTGTGTTTTTTGCCAATTTTAACCGCACACTTGTTCTTTGTGTACATGGATTTTATTTTTAATTTGGTAAAAAGCCAATTTGACATTTGCTCAGTACATTGTTTTCGCTGAGGAAATGTACGAATCTGCTGTTAATGATAATGCAGAGGATTTCCCCAAGGTTGCTGTTGATGCATATCCCACGGTAGTTATTAGTTCAAATTTGTCTCCACTTTTGTGAATTGGGGTGATCAGTCCTTGCTGAGGAAATGTACGAATCTGCTGTTAATGATAATGCAGAGGATTTCCCCAAGGTTGCTGTTGATGCATATCCCACGGTAGTTATTAGTTCAAATTTGTCTCCACTTTTGTGAATTGGGGTGATCAGTCCTTGGTTTCCAAATATTGGGGAAGATGCCAGAGATGAGGATGATGTTAAAGAGTTTAAGTATAGCCAATTGCAATTTGTGGTCTGTATATTTTATCATTTTATTTAGGATACCATCAACCCCACAGGCCT